ACACCCCTAACCCACCAACTCCCAGATCACATTGATGACAGTGATGGATAACCTGAAGGAGGCGGGCCATGGGTCATTGTGTTGTCATCTACATTGTCTCTGGTAGGGTTGAGGGCAGAACTAGTGGAGGCAGAATGTGTAAGAACTTGATAGATGAAAGCATGTAGGATTACCTGTAACGTCTATCAGCCTTCCGCTGTAAAATAAGTAGTGCTCATTTCATCAATTACCATTTCTATAATGGATAAAAAAATGTCTGTAACTGACAAAAAGGGTTATCTCTATCATCATTTTCTTCTGCCCTGAAGTGATGGCATAAATCTCCATGTCTCAGTGCATGGGATGGATATGCGCTCTAATCCTCACTGATTTTGATGTAAGCACGGTACAAAATACAACATGTTATGTTGTTTTAGTTTAGCAAATCTTATTCATCTCATCTTACAATTGTTTTCTTTTTCCTGTTTTATCACTTTTGTCAAAGTTGTTCATTTCTTCATCACTTCACTTCATCTCTCTCATTCTCTCACAGACACTTTAAACACACACATGAACAGCTGCTTGCTGTGTCTCAGTTTTTAGTGAATCCCTGTAGAGTGGTGAATATAACTGCTACCAAAGCATTTACCTAAGCTCAGCGCAGGCACACACACACACACACACACACACTCACTTAAAACCAACAAAGACACATAAGCACAAAGATGCACATACACACAATGTCACACACATGCCCAGCTGGTAATGTTGTTGAGATAAAAAAAAAAGACGTCAGAAAGACAAGAGGACAACCAGTCAGCTGGGAAAAGAGTAGGTGTGTATGTGTGTGTCTTTGATTATGTGTGTGCTTGCTGCCCTAACATCCACATGTGTGTGTCCACAGGGGAACACTGTGCACTGTGTGAGAAAGTCAATCCACTGTGATTTCATCTCTCGACATGACATATAGTCTGGCCCCTCTGGAGCACAAAGTGTGCCCGTGCACACACACACACACATACACACACACTTCCTGCATGCTTCCTGAGTGTTTCTGTGTACTAGAGCCCAACCAATACTGGATTTTTGAGGCTGATACTGTTTATTAAGAGTTTTTTGAGAGCTGATGTTGTTTTTCAAAGAATGCATAACATCAAACATATTAGGATAATTTAAATTGAGTTATTTAAGAGTTGTGACCTTGATATTGAGTAGAAATTCACAATTCACAAATATATCTTTGATTGCTAAAATAGCCTGTCAGTGATGTCTCAGTATGAATATATCCCTCATTTGCAGATACTTTTTTGTTTCCATCAGAGATGCAGGCTGCAGCAAAGCTTTCTCCAACGATTAAACACAAATCAGAAACTTTTTTTTTTCAAACATATCTGTGGCATTTCTTATCTGCAATATCTTGTAATTTATTGATCAACACATATGCAGATACCAATATATGTCTGCGTTAAGCTAAGATTGTCCAAAGCACCATTTTTTAATAAGTACGTCAGCTTTTATGTGCTTTCTCCTTTCTGTGTAAGTGCATGTGTGTACCACCAGTCTGTGTCTATGAAAGCTGCTTCAGTGTGCATGTGTGTTTGCTGGTATGCATGCACACAATTTGTGTATGTGTGCACTTTGTGCCAAACCCCTTGTAATATATTCAGGTATTTAAAAGTGTTTGGTTTGTTTAAAGTTGTGGAGGGGTTTTGGTCTCCTAGAGAGCTCGGATAACCCTAATCCACAACACACATTTTTATCAGTAGTTCATTGGCAGGGCTAAATATTGACTTATCATTAAGTGGAATGACTGAAACCCTAATAATAATTCACGTTGTCTAAGCACCTTGTGTTGACGCAGCGCTCCCGACGCTATTAACGAATGTATGCAAATCCAACGTAAATCTGAAGATTAGGGCCAAAGCATTCTGCAATGCAAGAGAGAAAACAAGAGGTGTGTGATAAAATGTTGTCAACACATACACGCACATGCATACGCACGCACAAACACACACGGTTTATAGGGAAAACAGGAGGTGTGTGTTTCAAAACGTTAACACAAATGACAAGCATGTCACACACACCCATACACAGATAACGCTTACAAAGACAGGGATTGGATTTCTGCTGAATGGGTGATAATACAATAGTGAAGTTTAGTTGCAGAACAGTAAACAAACGATGTAGACCTATGAACTGAGTGGATGAGAGAGAGAGAGAGAGAGAGAGATGTAGAGAGCTGTGGTAGATGGAAAAGAGGGAGGGGAAACAAGATGAAGATGTAAAGATAATGAGGAGAAAAGAGGATAAGAGAGGAACAAGTAGAGTCATCATCAAGAGAAATGTAAGAAGGATGAAGAGTTTGATAGGAAAAGAATTAAAGCATTGAGGAGAGAGAAAAGGAGGACGTAAGAGAAGGTAGAACGTGGATAAACTTATATATAGGTAGTATACTGTAGATGTTAGGCTTGGAGGGAAAAAAAGTGACTAGAGAACTCCAGAGCAGGTTACAAGTGATAAAGTTGGCATTTAGAAACGGCATGAGAGTGAATCAAGATATGCAGAGACTTTGAACAGCGCCATGTTGAACGATACATGGACAGATTGTTGGACTGCCTGAGAGTAAATGGAGGCAAATGAGCAAAAAATTGTGAGTCGTAGAGGGCCTGGTGTCCGGGTGGAAGGGAGGAGTAGAGGTGAGGAGGACGAGGGATGAGTGGAGAGGAGCTATTTTGGAAAAGTGTTGAGCTGTTTATTTGCGCGTCATTGAAGCTGAAGTAAGGCGCTAGGGGAATTGGCCACCAAGCCCCCTCTCTGCAACAGCTGCCGCTGCTAAGTGAGTTACTAGCCGTCAGACTGCCTTTATGTCACACAATCACACACACATACACATGCATTTTCCCGTCACATGTTGCCTGTGATGGATGCTGTGAGGATAATGCACAGCACAGGAGAAAATATGCGCCATTCTCCACTTTTGGCCTTTAAGTGAAATGATTGCTTAAATTAACAGGATTTCATGTGCGCGAAGAGTGAACGTTGATTAGGTTGTTAAACAATAAGTTATTTATCACTCCACAACTAGCTGCAGCCCCATTAAAGGGCGAGGCCATGATACAAAGCAATGACTTAGTGTTTAATGTCTGCTGTCAAATAAAATGGGCAACACAGCTGGAGGTAGATAGTGCCGCAGATCAGCATGCCATCAACTCTTAGTTAGAATTTGCTAAATAGCTCATGAAAGTTAGATTATTTCAACTCTAAACTAAATAATCACAAAAGACGGAGGGGTTCTTACAGTATTTCAGTCTGATTCAAAATGAGAAGCTTTTACTATTGGACTCTCATTAAAATACGATTTGTCCTTTTTCCATCAGCGCAGTTATGGTATTTTAGTCAAGCCGTGCCGTGCCGTGCCATGCTCATTTGTATTTGCAGTGCATCCTCACAGCAGGAGGTTACTTTGCTGACTCAGTGTTAAAGCAGGACAATATTATAGCCTTAATCCATTGCAAGGCCAAAGCTTGACAGTCCCCGCCCTCAACTAAGCTAAGACGTTAGAGTAGCCAGATTGGCTCAACTGGAGAGAAATCACTATGTTTATTCTCGACTGTTTCTTCAGCTAACATTAGTATAGTAGCTCCTACGTAAGAGCTGCTGCGAGTTTAGTTTAACACTCATGTCCATGACCTAACCTTAAAAGACCAGTGTGTAGGATTTAGTGACATCTAACAGTGAAGTTGCAGATTGCAACTAACCGAACACTGCTCGCGTCTGTATTTGATGACCTGAACAAATAAAGCTCCCCCAACTACAAACTGTGCCAGAGCAATGTTTAGCCGAGTAAAGCTTTTCTTACCAGAATAAAGTTGAGCTTTTACAGATTTTGTAGACCAAGACATTGTTTTCTCCTCTCAGAATGAGTCTTCCTGCCTCAAATCTGCAGGTTTTAATCTACAGTTTTAATTTGTCAATCATTCTCAATTGATTTGATTTTAAATATGAAGCACTTCAGAATGTAAAGAAACATGCTTGAAATTTGATATTCAGCTGCAAAACAATTTTACAGGGAAATAGAGTGATAGCATGTATTTTAAATGTCACCTTGCTGAAGGTGAAGTGGTGGCAGAAAGACATCACCTATCACTGTCAGAGATGGCAGCTCTCAGAAAAAGCACACTTCCTTCCCACTACATTCTTTCGACAGCATTGCCTGAATATTACTGCTGTATGAAGAGATGAATGCAGGAGAGGAAAAGAGGCGTGCGGGGGAGGAGAAGAGAGGAGGATGTATATAAGAGTTGATAAGAGAAGATGCACACTAATATTCAGAGCGGCCTAAATACTGTTTCTGTACAGATGGGAAAAAAGGGATTGAAAGGAGGGGGTAAAGGGATTTTGGGATGTCTAGATGAGAGACAGTACAACCCAACTGTGCCTGGATATATACAAGAGGAGGCATAAAACAAGAGGAGGTGAAGGGAAGGTGGAAAGGTTATGGAGGGAGGAGGACAGGACAAAAGATAGAAAAGGTGAGGCGGTGTAAGAGGAGGAAAGAGGTAGAATAATAGGATGAGTTGAGAAGCAGACGAGGACAAGAACAGGTTAAGGGAAAGAATAGAAAGGTCAATATTCTTTGTAATAAAGGGACACATACAGTGATTTCAGACATTACTGTTGAATGTAAAAATATAACCACATCATGTAAATAATCGAGATGACCCCAGGAGCCTTACAGAAGCTTGTCTTTTTTTAGTATTTGTTGCCGTAGGAGCATTCATGAATGGAGCAGTGTCACTGATATCATGACGTCCTTGGCGATTCACAATATTTCTTAAACAACTGTACAACCAATATGATTTAGACCTAAATTTGTAGCAAAATTTGATTTAAAAAACTTAAAACTCATTCATTAGAGACTTAAAACACACACTCGTCATAAAAAACAATTTCCTGCTACAGTAAGATCAAAAATGAAAATGCATATGAAACACAAATATGATTCATATCTTCTTCTTTAGGTTTTGTCTGCTGTGGTCAGGAGTATATTAACTCTTCAACCTCTCTTTGCTGTGTGGACAATGACGGATATCCCACAATACACCCTGCTGGCAATGCCACAGTGACATTGCAGTGCTGTGGGTCAAAGGTCATACGTCAAGAAGAGGAATGCTGCAACGGGATTGGTTATGACCCCCAAAGACACGTGTGTGCTGACCAACCCACGCCGGGCCTGTTAATACAGGTACGTGTGTATGTGAGATAATGTGTGTGACTGCTGTATTTGCTAAGACGTGTACTATGGATGAGGAAATCTTAGGCACTGTGTTCTGTCAACCAGGTTTTCTACAGCTCTCTTACACTTTGTTTGTATTCTTTCATGTCCACTGGAAGCACCGTGTAGTGTTCAACTTGTGCCATATGTCCGTCACATCTTCCCTGCGGTTTAAATTTCCACTATAAGTGTTTTAAAAGCAGCAGTCTGATCTGCAGCAGCCACATTTACAATATTGGTAGGATTGTTTTGCTGTCATTTTTTGTGTTTTACAAGCACATTTGATTGATTAATTTATTATCATTTTGGTAACATTTCAAACTCATTTTAAATAGTGCATATATAATGTAATAATATAAGGAAAACATTCCATTCCATGTCCTTCTGTATAAACATCAGAAGAGAAATTACATAAATTAACGGGAAAATTTTTTATTCAGCATCTGTACAGAAAGTCAAAAACAACTGAATTGCACCTATGATATGAAAATTAACACATTTAATTGTCAATAAATGCAGGCATTAAATTAATAAGTGACTTCCATGCTTCAGAAATGAAATCTAGTCTGGCAGAAAAAAGATTTGGCGCTAACACGTCGACTGGATATCGGACTCTTTCGCTCTCTCTCTCCCTCTCCCTCTCTCTCCCTCCATCTCTCAAACTCACACTCATTGTCACATCAGGAGTTGGGGACTGGGCCATCCTCCATTTATCAACTGGGGTCATGTGATGTTTGTGTGTTCCTAAGTCAGCATGAGACAGGCACACACATACACGCACAGAGGCACACATGCACAGGGACAAAGGGTAGGAATTCTCATTAGCTCTAATGATGTCATTAAGGACCATGCATACCACACACATGCACACAAACACGTACATAGCTACATTCTGCATGTATATGAGAGACACTTCAGAGTTTATATGATTTTTGCTTACAACATGTAACATAATAGTAAACTTCTACCAGATAAGTTTCTGTGGTAGTTATCTGTTTGTGCAGTGCAATCATGAAGATGAATGACTTAAAGAAAATAAAGATTTTGAACCTCATAGTTTCCCTTTTCTCCCTTTTTGTCTCCTTCTTTCCTGCTCGCTTACTATTTAACTCCCCCATCTTCCCATCTCTTCTTTTCCTGTCCACTCTCCATCTTTATCTATCCCTGTGCAGCACATGTGTTTGCAGGGCGCTGTGTGTCCCATGGCTGCAGCATCCACAGCTTATTGTGGCTCCTGTGACCTCGATCCATCTATGACCGCTTGCACATGGGTCCTGTCTGTGCACACACAGCCTGACATACCCTCCACAACATACTCACCTTCCATCAACACCACACATGAAACTCTCACCACGGGCCTCTCTACACGTATGAACAGAAGTGATAACACGCACAAAATGCAATTCGAGGGAGGCCTGTGCCCGTCGCATGAGGAGGTAGTGTACAGCGGAGGAGCCAACAGATACACCTATACAGGTAATGTTTGAGTGTGTTCAGTGGAATAATAAAATAAAAATGATTTAGCCTTTCCATTTTTATTTTTCTTCCTTCACCTAAGTACTGAATGTTTTGGTAACAAACTTTTCTAACCATTAGGGGACAACTACTGCTTTGATACAATTGTTTTGCCGATTCTTTGAAACAAAATATACCTGTTTCTCATCAACTTTTTTTGTATCCCTCAATGCCTCCTGTTCCCCTTCAAGTCTGACCAATTGCTGATTACACATTTTTCAGCCTCCTTTTCCCATTACTGCTCTCTCAAACATTTTTAGCATTTGAAAACTAAAATCTTTAATTAAACACCTTCCTCTTTCCCGTAAATGAGAAAGTTACCTCAGTGATGTCACACAAGAGGTTTTATCAAACCTACAACTTTCTTTTACGTGCTGTTAAAACCTGATGACAAACTGAATGCCTTTTTTTGACCACTTATACTTGCATCCCTTCTTCTAACCTACTAGTTTGCTGGAAATTAAGACTCTCGCTTCAGTTCTCCGGATAACTCAATAACTAATTCAGAATATAGCCATCATAGAAATTTTAAGCCTGCAGAAACCAATTCTGCATTTACTCTAAATGTGTCAGCCGCTGCAATCAACGGGCTTTAGAGACAGATGCCCTTCCACAGACTCACACACACACACACACATACACACACACACACTAAGGCAGCTGTTGCAGTGCACACTGATAGCTGTAACGTGGTAACTCTCTCTGTGCTGTACACTTGTGTGTCATTAAAACTTAGAGATGGGCGTTTAAATGCCATTTCAACATTCTTTACTATTTATCAGCCCAAAGGGAGTTGGAGTGTATATCTGTGTGTGTTAGTGTTTGTGGGCGTGTATCTCAGGATGTTCTGTCCGTCCACACATTATTTATCTGGGTAGTTACATCTGTTTAATCAAGACTAATTGTGGCTGTGGATGTTTTGTGTGTATGCGTTGTGCACTAATAATTACATGTGTTTTGTGTGTGTGTGTGTGTGTGTTAGTGTCCACTTAGTTGCTGTATAAGTATGCCTCTGTAGTGAATGTAGTGAATGTGGTTCTGTGTATGTATCTTTTATCCACTGTGTGTGTGTGTGTGTGTGTGTGTGTGGGGCATGGGGCATGGGGCGGTTAGGATAAGAGTTTCTAGGCAATGCTGTGACACCATCTGGGCAGAGGCACATAAAGCTGTCGCCACCTACCATACACCAGATGTTTCTCATGCACACACACACAGTCACACACATAGGGTATCATGCTATACTTCTCTGGGAAAAAGACGTAAGGTAGATCACACACAGTTTGCTCCACATGTGCAATGAGTGCTATAAATATATACTATATTATCTACACCCAGTTTATATTTATACTTGTTGGAATTAGTTCTTAATGAAACACAAAAACTAGGCATGTGTCTATGCACACACATTCAGTTTTTTATTTACTTGTGTGTCACTGTGTGTGTTTTGCTGCTTCAGTTATCACAGTAGTAAAGACTGGTGGTCCCAGACTGGTGGTTAAAACATGGTCTCATTTACAGCAACAGTCCCTTAACACTACTAAAAATAATGCACGTGTGTGAGGGTGTGCAAGCACATCTGTATGTATATATGCTCCTGTATGTATACCTCAACAGAAGGTGTGTCACAACCTGTCTCCCAGAATGCTTCAGTCCTGCCCTGACATTTACAACTATGCACCAGTGCTAGTGCATATATTTAGTATATGTCCATATAACATGTGCTTACATTGGCAGTACAACTCCCAGTACACACATTTTCAAAGATGAAACTATTGTTACAAAACATCATTTTAGATAAACATATGTGCCATATGTTTTATGAATGGTATATAGTGTGCATGTTGTACAAAAGATTGTAAGGCCCTCAATTATTTTGGTTCATACTGTCTTTAATGCTTGGTGAGGAGTATACAGTGTATTGTTAATCCTCCGTTATATTTATTTTGCTAGAGCCATTACACATACTATCCTATTTATAAAACGTTCATTAAAATTTTCCTTTTATTAAAATATATTAGCTGTTTAAGTTAGAGCTTGCAACAAATTTACAGCATGGTTGTTTGCATACTGGAGCTTATACTACATGTGCACTTACAGTATTACTCACTTAGTAATCACAAGTCTGGCAGTGTTGCTAAATGAAATAGTCATTAACCAATGTATTGATAATCTTACTGACAGATTTGTTGATTATTTCCTTTGCTCCCCTTCTTCTGTCCTTCCAACCTTCCTTGCTCTCTAATAGACTCTGACCTGGAGCCCTTCACCACCTATGAGTACAGGGTGAGGGGCTGGAACAGCTTTGGAAGAGGCTCCAGTGATGTTGCAACAGTGACCACCAGTGAAGACAAACCATGGGGAGTTGCACTGCCCCGTTGGAGTCGCTTAGGAGAACGAGATGACATCATCCAGCTGCAGTGGCAACCACCTGCCAGGCCTAATGGTATGTATGTGTGTGTATGTGTGTGTGTGTGTGTGTGTGTGCACATCACTAAAACCCCTGTAGATTTGCTTAAGTTAACTTCAGTTGAGGGTTAGTCATGATTAATGTGGATATGGATGTAAAAATAAAAAAGACAAGATGTTTTCTTTTAAATATTGAGAAAAACCTGACATTGGTTATCAAAATTAAAGTACCTTTTCCATTTTACCAGGGGATATCACCCACTATGTTATACTCCGAGATGGACAAGAGCGTTACCGTGGTGATGAAAACAGTTTCACTGATGTGGGTGGGATCAGGCCTTTCCAGGAATACAGTTACCAGCTGAGGGTTTGTAACCGGGCTGGTTGTACTGACAGTTCACAGGTAAGACCACGTGTGTGTTTGCGCTGTTACCGTTGAGTCAGACTAACATTCTCTGTATCACAGTATTCATAGTTCATTAACAGCTTATGTAGCTAACCTTATGCTTCCCTGTCCAATAAATATAATACCAAGTCTGCATCAGGAGATGGAACAGGGAGTTTGGAACATATATACACAAAAATGGGCATGTCTATTCATAAAGCTTGCAAACTCAGCATTAGCTATTGAGATAACCAATAAGTGTCTGGCACTGATGATGCCCCATTGGTATGCTGTAGATATTTTGTTCAAAAATACAGTAAAATATTACCAATTACACCTTCAATTAGAAATTGCTGTGTGATTGCCTCTGTCTTGCCAGCCTTCCGTGTAGAGCTTTCTCACTCACACACCAACAGATTCTCACTCACACACACACACACTTTCCAAAAGCGTACTATGTTGTAGCACCCCATTTCATAAAGACATTATCCCCCTGTATGATTATCTAATGGCTCCTCTAAAGATGGACTGAGCTTCACTGAACTAAGCACCACTTTACTCCATAGTTTAGTTCACTCCTTTAATTTAAGCTCAACACTTGAGGGAACTAGTGTAGAAAAGTGTGCTGTGTGTGAAAGAGAGGGAGACAGAAATATGAGAAAACACATGAAAGAGAAAAAACATGTGTTTGTGTTTTCTATTTGTTAATCAGTTGTGTTGTTGTCTGTCAGGTTTTTTTTTCTTTCAAGAAACAGAAATCAGCTTCCTTGCCACTTGACCAAAACATAGCTAATCAGTACATTTACCATACCAGTTGACAGTGTACAGGAGCAGCTTTTATTGCTTGGACTCAACAACTCATACCCTTCTACACACCTGTCTGAATACATGCAAAGATCCCTTTTCCTATTTTGTTCTGTCAAGGAGAAATAGTCTGCTTCACATTGGATAAACTTACAGCAGCAACCTTGCAGCATTGGTCTTCTGCAGTTGGCCGCTCATCTGAACCATTGTTTGGCCGGTGGCCTTTCAGCCAAACGCCCTTTTACCCTCTTGTAAAAACCTCCTCAGATGCTGATTTCCAAATGTTGTTTACATTGTAATTCAGGTGCTCAGTTGTTCTGCAAGTGATATTTTACAAATTCTAAACCTCTGTCTGACCTTTGTTGCTAGGAAATAACAGTGTGTGATGTTTCCACACTGTGTGAACTCTGTACTGTTCCCGTGTCGGAACAAGTTTTTATTTAGCCCTGTTTCTGCTCTCCCCCTGTATGCGAGGCTCTGGATTTGCTGAGTCTACCTGATGTTTGTGATAGCGTCCATAATAGCTTCACACAGAACTCCCCCTGCTATCTCTCTGACTGTAGCCGAGCTGATATCACCACAACAATTAATTTCTCCGGCTTAGAGGTGATGAAAGCTCATGTTGAAAACTGTCTTTCTGGCTTTTTTTTTTAAAGCTAATTTAACATCTCATTATTTTGATGAGCACATTCTTACGTAAAGACGAAGCCTGTAGATGTGTCACTGGAGGGATGGATGGGAGGTACAGTTGGCTGAACTGGCTGTGAGGGGTTGATAGATACATAGATGATGGATTAATGTATACAATAAATGAATGCTGAGGAGAATGATGACATGAATGACATAGGAATGGATGATGGTGATAGAGGAAGGCGTGGTAAATGGTTGGAAAGATGAAGGGAAAGAAAGAAGAGATTGTCAAGATTCTAGTACTGTAGGCTTTCCCATATATGTGTATAGGGATTCTGTTAGTATTAAACATTCATTTGTAAATGTATTACAGTGATACCACACGCTGATGTTTCTGGCCACCTGACAAATTTCACTTTCAAATTTCAATTTCACTCAACATTTAGCTGTTTAGCTGTCTCTGAAGAAAATCATTTTAAGATCTGGTTCTTTTGCTCATTTACTTTAGTTCTCAACCATTTCACACTGGGCAATGTAAACCAGGTAGGGTAATGAGTGATTGCTTGATCTTATTTGCTGACGTCTGACTGAAATCAGACCGAAATCAGCTTATCACTGCAGGTGAAAGCTGTTTAGAGCAGAACTGGCTCCCGATTCTGAGTGATGTTGGCCGTAGGAATAGGAGTAATAATTCAATAATTTGTTCCTGTTGGCTGTTGTTTGATTTCAATTTGTGTAAACAGCTGTGAAATTGTAAAGCCCTAGAAGAAATAATTTAAGAAGAAAAAAGTTAATTACTTAATAGTTGTGTCTGACATTCATTTATAGTGACTGTGTCGTGTGCTCTCTCCCCACAAGTTTTGCTTTCAGGACATTTTAGAGTATACATACCTGAAATAAGCACTTAACATTTTGCAAAAATCCAACAGAAAAAAGCCTACACCATGATGCAAATTATGACCTGTCATAGCTTCTTATAGCATGGAAGCTGACCACTACATCATCTTGACTGGAAACTTGTTTCCATTTCTATGACCAACAGGAGAACTCTGTATACATGTATACATGCACATACCCTCCTAAAGCCATACACAGTTACACCACAAACTCAATCTCTGTCTTCCATTTTCTCTCTGTCGACCTCCCTCTATCTCACACACACATACATATGTTTACAGAAACAAGCACACACACTCCAAGCAGAGGGTGGAAAGGGAGTTGGATTAGTTTGTACACCAGTGAAAATTGGCCAAACAGTCCCAATTATGAGATAACTTGGGCTAACCTAATACACCACTGCAATTACCTGGCATCAGCCCACTCACATACACACACACACAAACACGAACACACAAACACACACAAACAAACGCAGGCACACACAAACGCACACCTGCTGTGACAACAGAAGGTGCTGATCTAATACGGTTGGTCACTTAGAGAGGGAGGAAGAGCGATTGGTCCTCCTCTGTCTTCAACTCCTTTTGTCCTGTTCTCTCTGCTATTTGTCTCCTGTCATTCCCCAGATCTCAACGCCGCACTCTTCAGTTTTTCCCAGCTATTGTCTTTCCTTTCTTAACCTCTCTCATCCTCACTCCTTTCCACTGTCCAAACACAATATCAATAATCAATGTACTGCTCAACTCAGGGTCCTAATTTTTGTAAGTCAGTTAAATCATCCACCAAAAGTTAAGTGAGTTAAAGTTGTATTTAGGCTACACTTACATACAGTAGACAGTTTTATGGCTTTTATTTCTTATTTTTTTTACATCACAGACATCCGAGTTAACAGCACACTGAAGCACTCACTGATCGTTACCACACTTCCTCTGCATCTTCCTTATCTTCTTCTTCTCCGCCTCCTTTACCGTTTCCTCTCTTCCACCTCTTTGTGTTGGCGTGTGTATACCTGCATTCACCTGTGTGTGTTTATGTGTGTTCACGTGCGTGTCTCCTTAGTTGTAGTAGCAGTGTTCTAATTGCATAGCACTGTGTGGGACAGGTGGGGGAAGTGCTAGTGACAGTCTATTAAGGCAGGATATCCCTGTTGCCATTAGCAGCAGATTGCCCTGTGATTCTCTGGTCTTCACATTCACCCAGCGTTCACAGGGGCCCACAGATACTACACTATTTTACAGATTTTACTAAGATTTTTATTTTTTTTGCATGACCTGAGTTTAGGGAATTGCTTGTTGTTTTTGTTTGTTTTCCTCATTTTGTACCAGTGATACATGGTAATACTGCTGATCAGAACCTCAACATCCTATCATAATTTAGGTGCCTTGCATTGCTGAAGCAGCTTTCAGTTATTTTCTTTGTCATGCAGAGATGCTAAAGTGATGGAGTATGTCTCCTGTATTCTCAAACTAGTGTACTGCTCTAGCTTTTTACACTATTTACAGAGTTCTTCCCTCAAGCTCAATTGGTTCTAGGAATAAAACATAGTGTATAAATTCTATAGTATGCATGTTCAAATGTGGTAATATTAAATTCACTATGTTGGACAAATACAACAGCTTATTATGATACTATCTGTATATATAGCATGTTTTTTTCATAATGCAGGTTTTGGATAGTTTGTGTTTTGGCTTCATTTGTTCCCTGTTTTGGATGGATTTGGTAATAGGTTGTAACATTTCTGCTGTCACCAGCAAATGTCTCTCTCTGTTGTCAACAAGGTTTTTTATTGCCTTAGAAAGAGAAGCCCTGAATTTGGATGCAGTTTTTTATTGGGTTGTGACTGTGTTAATTACATTCATAAATGATCACAGCAGAAATCCATCTGTTATCCACACCTTTTAAATTCTGTAAAATACCAGAGATGTGTTGTATTTTCTATTTCTTCTGTTTTTATCTGTGTGTATGTCCATGTCCATGTGTGTGTTCAGGTGGTGGCAGTGACAGCCCAGGGATTCCCAGAGGGCGTGCAGCCTCCTTTGGTAAGAGCTTTTAGCCCCTCCTCCCTCCATGTGAGCTGGTCTGAACCTACTCGTCCCAGTGGAATAATACAGCGGTACCACCTGAACCAGACTGGTGTCGGAACCATATTCACACACAACGATGGGCCCAGGAGTTATACTATGACTGGTAAAAATTTCAGATTATCTGCCTCACTTTTCCTTCACTTCCTCAACTCTCATTAAATCTCCTCTCCTCCTCCTGCAGCCCTCTGATTGCCCTTCCTTATTTCTCTCTCTCCTCCTCCTGCTCCTGCAGCTTTCACTTATTTCCCTGCCTTCTCGCCTCCTCACCTAACACTCCATATTCTTCCCTCTTCTTCTTTCCCTTTGTCATCTCTGAATCATCTCCTCTACCTCTCTGCTCCTCTTACTTCCTCTCTGCTTACCTGCCCTCTCTTCTTCTGTCCTCCCCCTCTTGTTTTTCTCCTTTGTCATGCATTTATTTATGTATGCCGGTTTCTGGAATCCATCTAATGACTGAATTTACACCTGATTCCCGCCAGTCTCTCTCTGGCCAAGCCCCTTACACACACACAAACACACCTAAACACACTCGCATGAACACACACAGAACTAAAAACACCACAAGCGCAGATAAGAAGCACACTCAAACATAGTAGACAGGCGCACAAGCTCAGGCTCACATACCTAGAAAGACACAAGAGAAAAACCCAAATATAAGTACAACAAAACAGCACAACAAAAGCAGTGTGAGGCCCAGTGCTCGAACAAAACGCTCTGAAAGTACACACACAGACAAACAGAAGTGTTGGCTTGTTTTAATATTGTAGATCTGCACAGAAACACGGTGGTGTCAGGACTGGGTGATTTGTGGGTCTTGTTTTATCTACCCTGAGGAGGAGTTGTGTTGCTGGCCCTCTGCCATCAGTCAAAACACACACTCACACGCAGACACAAACACCTGCATGAAGCATTGTAAAGCGACCGTTTGTAAGGATAAAAATGTAACATTTTAGAGACACAAATACCAATAGAATATTATCACAGTAGACATACTTAGCTCCATTACTTCAGTGATTTGAAGAGTTAAACTAAACTTCTGATTTAAATATTTAAAGTGTTTTAAAACTCATTTGGTTTCTATGTATTCCATTTGACTGTGTAAGTGATGAGATCTTTTGAAGCTTAAATTCAGTGACATTTTCCTTTCACAGCTTTCCTCTCTGCTCAGTTCTGGACTCAGACCAGGCATCGGCTTTGCCAGTAGCCAATAGACTAGTCCCATGGTGCCTGTGGTTGGCTTGTATGGTCAGGAGTGGTGTGCGCACGAGCATGTGTGTTTGTATGTGTAGGCATGAGGCAAAGCAAACAATGCCAAATAGAGATGGTAATGTGCTGTAATACTGTACCAGCCCCATGTGCCAGTGTAAGCAACCAGCATGCGTGTGTGAAATTCCCCTGTCCCCCAGTGAGACACTGGAAAACCCTGCGCATTCAGCCAAAATCACTACTGGGGCAGTCTCTTGCTCTCTCTCTCTTTATCTTTCTCTCTCTGTCTCTCTCACCCTCTCTCATTTCTCTCAGCTCTCTCTGTAACAACACATATATGCGAAAAGGTTTCTGGGTTTTGACAGCAGACATTTTGAATAAGTTTTACAATAACAAAGGATCAACTTTTTTATGGCCACTACAGATAAATATAAAAAAGCCTTGAGTGGTCCTGCAGCTCAGAACTGCTATTGACTGTAAAAAATAAGCTTTGGTTTTCATTCTCACTTTATCAGCTTTTTACTCTCGATGTTCTATAATTTGATTCAGTACAATACAATAAAAGTATGTTGAATTATATTTCCTTTATTTTTTATATACATTTAATAACAGTCTTAATGTGTTGTGTTTTTAGGCAATATATTTTATTATTATTTGTCTTACTCTGTACCACCATGTGCACCTACAAATTGAAATACAAAAACAGTAGTAAAAAGTAAAACATAGGTATTGGTAGGGTGGCGGAGTGAGGTGGAGGGTAATCTCAACAGTAAAATTAAATAAAGAAGGAGAGACAAAAAAACACACATACTGAGGGAGTAAAAAGTGCCCAGAATTACACTTTTTAAAAGAGAGTGAAGGAGAAAAGGAAGGAGTGGGACAGATGAAAAGATGGATGGATGTATCTAAGTGTTTTCAGTGAAATATGAACAGAAATAATTGCTGTGCTACTCCCTCATCCTTAATGTTTAATACGCCATTATTCATCTTCCCTGCTTCTCTGAGCTCACACACTCACTCATTCAAACCACAGAAACCGGAGAAATGTGCTTTTTTTAGCTACGAAAATGTCGATTTTAGATTGAATCACTCTTGCAGTGTTGTAACTTATTTGATCTGATGGAATATTTTCTATCAAAATCACTTTGGTCGAGGCATTCATTTATCAAAAAAACGTTCATATGAATTTACTCTTGTAACAATAAATATAATAATACTATTATGTTAAATTAAGAAACAGTAACAGTGAAAACAGTCATTTTAAATGAAATTACCTGTTGCTTCATAACATATAAAAATAAGTGTTGCATACATTGTTAAAAAATGTCACCTTTTAGGCATTAAAAACCCATCTAAATCTGGCATTTTAGACATTTGTTGTTTGGTATAGTTCAGAAAAATTAGTTTTACATCTTGAAAGAATGTTACAAAAAACATCTGTTACATTACCTATGAAAGCCATTTTGTCTTTAACTTAATAGTTAAATGGGGGAGTGGAGCTTTAATAAGCGCTGAATAATTTCTCTGTAGTTAATGTTACAAATTATGTTGTTGTTTCTAACTGGTTTGCACTGTTAGAATGAGAAAGGTAAGCAGTGACCTCAATAATGCCAGAATATTATTATTAAAAAAACAAATTTGTGGCTTCAGCCATTTCCTGCTTATCAATGATGTGCCTTAGGAATAGCAAGAAATAGACTCTTATTAATCGAATTTTTAGCAGTTCTAAAAAGTGACACTTCATAGAAAGAATTAAGCACTACTGTACAAAGACACCCCATGTGAATCGATATTAAGTATTGCCATCATTAGCTCACAATGAATTATTGCCTGCAATTATATAGATTATGGCATTAATCATGTGTTTAATTGGTCTTTTGTAGCCTCATTATTAATTCAGAACAGCAGGGAATAGAGTATGTTCTTTTATTTATTAATGTGT